ATAGTGTGGTAAACTCCATGCAATAAAGCGTCAGTTCAATTACGGATGAAAGCAAATCCTGAATTTCTGTCACTTTTGACAGTCGGACCTCTTCAAATTTCTGCGTAAGTAACCACCAGATAACTAAAAATTCTTGCCTTCATTATCAATAAACAACAAAGAAAGTACCGATATGTCAACATAATCATAATCCAAAGTGAAATTCTATAAAAATAAGGCAAAATAAAAATTTACACGAAGACTCATGAAAAAGAAGAAGACCGAGTGTTCAAAAAGAGTAATCGTCTTCTGCTTCACCAACCAGTCTCCATGTCAATCTTGGTCAATCCAGGTAAATAATGTCACGTTCCGAAATGAGAGCAATGTATGCAACAATGGAACAAACAGGTATAATGTATGCTAATTTACATTAAACACGTTCAACTTATATCGCATAAGGAATTGAGATATTATAAAGGCCGTTAAATTTTTCCATCATTCTCTTGAAATCGCTCATATCTTTATACCTTTTTGGGCTGAATGAGTTTTCAAATTAACTATTGATTTGTTTGGCTTTCTATATGACAATGGTTTGGTACAACGACGAAAAAAATCACATGTTTGCTGTCAAAACTTACAAATGAAGCAAGCATGGAACGGATTCCTTGCAATTGAAACACCATCCCCGTTACCTTTATAGTCCATAAACTATTCAACGACGTTCTTTTCTGAAAGCTGAAAATCAATAATTTTTCAATAAAAGAGACACTTGTTTTAAACATCACTCCATGACTGTATAAAACGCGCAGAATGTGTATGTTCATGGTAGCCATTATGATCCGTGTGCGAAGTTTTCATTTTTTTTTTTTTTTGTACAACCTGGCAATAATTTTTTCCCGACTCTCACTGCATGACAGATATCGTCAATAAAACAGATGACTCTCACATTTGCGTTCATTGTCAAGGTGTTTATAAAGTTATATATATAAAGATATTATGCTCAAACTTCAAAATTAGAATATAATTGTTTGGAAGATAAAGCGATTTGTAGATTTAATTTGTTTGAGGAAGACAAAAAACTTTACACACAACATCACAAGTGAGAGTTTCGTACACTTTTATTTACGTGCAACGTTACAAACAAACAAAAATACACTGCTTGTGAATACAATAAAGATACATTACTTACATGTTTGTTCAAACATATACATGGTCGATGTCTCAAGTCACAAGTATATCGTTGTGTTGATGGGAATTAATATCAGCGAAAAACTATTTGAATAAGAATTAAAAATGCTTCTTGCCTAACTATAATTGAAATTAAATTAAGACTGATTTTAAAAGATAAACAATTGTTTTGTACAGCTTTAAAACAAAAGCAAACGCTTGTCCGTACTAATTAAAAAGTCAGTAACGTACTGCTTAACAGAACATAAACCTATAATTAGAACTGTGACAAGCTTTTATCTGAGGTATACTGTAGTTTATGTCAATACCATGTTTGACACGCATCCACTTAACAGTATCTTCTGAAAGTTTGTAAAAAATATGATAGCCATGAGTAATTAAAACCGTTCAATACACAATGACGAACGTTGTTACGTAATCTGTTTTTAATCTGTCATTTGAAACATTTATTTAAGCACGGCTTACCCATTCCTTATGCCTTGGTGTAATTATTAAGCACTATAAAGGATAAACATTATACTTTACTACAGCGCATTTTTAATTGATATGAATTTGTTATTTATCGTCGATAATGAAAGCATTTAAGTCACAAAGATACTATGAAATTAATTTTTCTTGGGGAATTGGTTTTTCTTTGATTTCTTTGGTAACATTGATCCACGAATTCATAAGTCCACAAACTTTTGAAATAAGTATATGTAAGAAAGCAAATTTTCACGAAATGATATTCCTTTTGAAAAAAAATCCATGAAAATTGAGCCCCGCGAAAATTTATTATATTACAGTACATTAAATTAAGAAATAAATATTCGATCTGTCTGCGTGCCAGCTGATGTTCTGACATTAAGGCCAGATGAGTTTCGGTTTGTGATCAAGAGAGTAAAACAAGGTTAATCAGGAGTTCCTGACGGTAGTAGGCACGTCCGGTTGTAATTACTTACTTACTTTAAAAACAAGTATATTGCTTCACTGATTACAAAATCAATGTAACTGGGACTGCTCGTTGTCGATGAAATGTTTCGATATGGTTTGTTTGTCTCGCACATCTAGTGCTGTCAACCCTAGCCCCGTATCAAGGACTAATGAGTTAGAGAAGGCTACCCTCAGGGAGACAATTAATCTGCAGAGTTTACACAGGCACGTTGTAATACGACAATGGTGGTAATCAACATTAGGTCCTATCTGACACAGTAAACAGCAAATACTGCAAACAAACAACACGTATAACAAGTTTCTAAAAAAAAAAAAAAAAAAGAAAAGAGAACAATTGGTCTGAAAATAATTCAAATATGTGAATTGCGGCCAGCACATAGACACTGTTTACCCCAGTTATCCATAATATCAATCTAAATTGATTCTAATTTTGAATTCCTTATAAAATGACACTAACGACGAATGATTTTTGAAATTACGAACTGAATTATTTTCATAATTTAAATAAACATTTAATTTGTCTTTTAATAGCTCTCCTTCAATTAACAAGTGAAAATTCAATTTCATTTAATGTAAAGTTACATATTGTTGAAAAGACACAAGTGAATAAATGTAGGAAGAAACCCTTTTTGTAAATAATGATGGGATGCTTACATATAATTGTTACTGTATTATCATACAAAATGATATAATGCACCATGCACTTGAAAGTATCTGTACGAAACTGAACGATCACAAATTTACAAAATACGTCCGGAAAGTCATGCGTACATAATACGCAGGGAACGTTATAGATACAGTACATAAATATACACATAAAGTATCACATCTATATCACGTGATTTAGTCTTCTAAAAACATACATGTAATATAATTGACGTAGACCACTGGACCAGATAGCCCGCTGAATCAAATAAATAAACAAGATCATTCTTCAATGGCTCTCGATAATTATATATTGTGCATTGAACGAGTGTGCAAAATATGGTGTATATGTACTATAATTTCATAGTATGTTTAGCTATCATATAACTCGCTTGTTATCCAGTTAATTCACTCATGTTATATTTTAGTGCACTAGTATATGGCACATTTATAATACACTATGGAATGTTCTTCATTGGCTCTTCAAGTCTTATAGCGATTGAGATGTAATTATAGTAACAATGAAATTACATCATTTATTGGAAATAGTGCGAAAATGTTTATTCCGAGGCACGGAAAAATTCAACTTCGAAAACTTAATTCAAAACTAAATTTATCACTACTTTTTTTATTATATCAAACTGTTTAAGTGATTAAAAAACAATTTGATTTTTTACGCTCAAATGAATTTCTTTATAATACAAAACACAATTTTTTCGGAAAATTACATTTTGGTTTCGAAATCACATTAAACGTCGCCTGTTTCCTGGCTTGCGATTTCAAGATGGCAGCATCAATGTTGAATAGAGAATAGGCAGCGACTGTTTTTTGATCAGAGATATGTTCGGTACATAGAACTCATAAACGTGTTATACAACCGTTACGAATGATTTCCATCGGACGTGCATCAATGACAAGGTTAAGTAATCGCAAAATGAAGGCATGAATGATAACTGGCGAAATGTGAAATATCCTGGACGAGGGGACTTGTTACGACTCAAAAAATCGAAGCTCAGATGTGATACTCTCTCTCAGTATATTTTTCCGTATAAAACTGAATTCTGAAATCACGTGCCAAAATCGTTACCTAACACAGAACTTATAGATTTTTATTTTTATAAAATGTTTCACCCCGACTACTGTAACATGTCACATGACCCCTATAATGATACATTTATATATAAACTTATTAAAATAATGAAAAATTCGCATGAATATTCGTCACCTTTAGAGTCAGAGTAACATTCATCACAATGTTATAAAGAGAATTTTCCATTTCCATAAGCGAACAAGAAATAATAATTTCTCGAATATTTGATCTTTTCTGCAACAGTGCCTATGTTAGTTGTATGGAACCTAGAATGGGAAGGTGATACAAAATGCTGATTCGCTAACTGATTTAGGTATTTAGATAGAAGATGAATCGTTGCACCCGATATCTATTAAAACTCTCTGTGTAAATGTTTCCCTTTTCAGCTTTATCTACGCATTAAACCATTGTACAATTAAACTCAATTTACGACGTTATCTGAGATATATTTATAGCGCACTTTAGTAGGATTGTAGACATTAAAGATTATATATACTACGGAAATAAACTCAGAGATGACCGATGTAATTTTCTATTTTCTATTTTTTTTTCTAAATTATATACTTGCATGTTCATTTATTTTGTGTTTGTGATTAAAACCTAAAAAATAATCATATAACTTTAAATTTATACTCTGAATTTTATAGCTGCATTTAGATAATCTATGATAATAATGTTGACTTCCATGATCTGTTAAACGATTGGTGGGGTGGAATGAGGTTGAAGTTTATAAATATACAATGTAAGTATTATCGGACATAAACAGAGTTACGACCAGCGTAACCTTTCTTTCAATATATAATAAACTTATATATTAATCGATTTTGTATTTGTTTGTACTTCTTTTATTGTGTTATCTCATAATGTAATAACTCCTAAAAACAAACAGGTAATTATATGGATTCATTTAAATAGTATAAGATATCAAATTGTATGTTTACTTACAACTTCAATTGTTTTTAATAGAAAAACAAAGCAAATGTTTGCACTCACCATCTGATCACTTGCACCCCACTTTCTGATCACATCCATCAAATATGTCTACAACACGGTGCCAATATTTTAGCTACGATTAGAACATAACTTATAGTAAAGTTTTACACCAAAAAGTAAACAACAATACCTTATATGAACATTCATCCATGTAATTATTATCATATTACACTTAAGCCGTTGTGTTGACGGCACTAGTGCCAGCAGGTAAAGGCACGACCCTATTCTTCCTCGTGAGAAGGTTGAGAAACGCTCGTCTGTACCGTGGATGAAGTAAAGGATACAGCACGGGGTTGATTGTCGAGTTGATCCATAATAACCAAAACGTCACCTCAAAAACTACTGGATCCACACAACCACCACATATTGTAGACACTAATGCTGTGACTTCAAAAGGCATCCAGCAAATTCCGAACGTCAACACAAGGATAAAAAGTGAACGAGCAGCTTTCCGATCTTGCTGAAGGCTTTTAGAGTTGTTTGTGGTAAATCCTCCTTTCTTTGGTTCAGGCGCTTCTTCATTCTCTTGTTGAGTTCCTACAGTAGCCGGGGCCGTGACGGCCGTCATGAATCTCTTGCTCCTCTGTCGGATTGTTGTGTACACAAGAACGTTGAATGTGGCTACTGTGATAAATGGAAAAATGAATTCAATCAAAGTACCGCCAAGCAGCATCATAACGCTTACGTTGTATGGAAGGAAACACGCTTTATCTGGAATGATGGGACCTTGGCCAACTTCCCATAACGTAATGGCTGGTAGAAAGAAAAGAGCGGGAAGAACCCATGGTGTAATCAGTAACGCGACTAATAGTTTATTAGTTCGGTGGGTCCTTGCCCACAAAGGGTGACCCACTTGTAGGTAACGATCAAAACTGATACAACAAATGTTGAGGGTTGACGCTGCAGGTGTAACGTAGTCGAAAACGAGCCACAGAAGGCAAACACCGTGTCCAAACGGCCAATCTCCGGTCAACAGCAGAGGAGCATATAACGGAATACATATGGATCCGATGATCAAGTCGGAAATAGCAAGGTTCAAAATAAGGCAGTCACTAAACTTCCGTACAGTTTTATCTTTGGCAAAAGTGATAAGAACACAAAGGTTTCCTCCCATAGTCAGTATAATCATGATGGCAATTAAGACAGCAATCACTATCAAAACCGGAAGTGACATACCTGAAGAGGAATCGTCTGCAGCGTCGTCGGTGAGATTGGAGGTCATCTCCTTGTATTGTACGAACTGAATGAGTATAAATTTGATGGAAATTTAGTGTTTAAATTCCAGGTTTAATTATAGAATCGGCGTGGCGGCAATTCAGGTATGTTGATATAAACAACGTCAGACAAGCAATATGCACAGGCCCTACATTCGAGATCAAGTTTGTCATAGTAACCATGGAAAACTCTCTCTGAATATGTCGTGGTAAATTCAATATATTTGTATTACTTTTTTTTATACAAATTCATATCTCATTTTCCCAGACCTCATCAAATTTTATCGATTATTTTCCTGTTATATTGTCATCAAGCTCAGTATGGTAGTCTGGATGAGAATCGTTGTCTTTACTCTATCAATATCAATCTGCAGTGACTCCTTTCTTAGTTGTTGTTCGAACTACCTATTAATACAATTGTTTCTTTGCCTGAGGAGTAACATAATCCGGATTAAATTCCTTTTCTGTTTGCTCTCTTGTGAACCGCAAGAGAAATCATGTAACCGTAATTATCCAACAAGCCTATATAATGCAAGTCCCTTTTGATTGTCATGGTCTTGTCGTCAAAATGATGGTTTACCTCTGACAACTGTAGCTTGGTGGATGACAGATTGAGCAATTGAAAACAGATGCTTTTTGATATGCCGAAAATGTTGAAGTCCAGCTGTCAATCACTTGTTGTTACAAAATGGGAGTGGCTTCATCATACCGATACACCATACAGAGAAACGCACTGGTTTTATACATATATCTCGGTGTTAATCAATATTTCACAGCACTGGCAAGTGAAAACCGTCACTTTAGTATATATATAGATTATTCCCAAAATCCATATGTGTTTATATATCAACTTTTTATATACAAATATGAGTCAAGTGATATATACATTTCCATTTATATAAAAAAAACCAATTTAACAATAGCACGTAGCAACTTGAACCCATACCAAAAATAAAACATATTCCAAAACTAAAAGAAACACAACATGAAACATTAAGTAACTTTCTCATTATGATAACGCTAGGAAGCTCTACAAAATCTCACCATTCAACTTTTCAATCTTTTAAGCATATGATTTGTTATTACCATCGCCTTTTGTCAATCGTCGTGTATTGTTCCTCCTCAAGCAATTGAAATTTTCGACCTCTGAACCAATTATAATGACATTTTGCATAAACCCTTTATGACCAAAGGTGAAACAAAATATCTCAAATTAAATATTCCAACCTCTAGGGACCAGAGCGAAGCCAAACGGGGGTAAATTGACTGAAATTTCAAAACCAGAGCCAAATACTATTCGTAAATAGAAAGCCTTAAAAGGATACCAACATTGTGAATTTTATTTATATAAGGGATTTTTCAGCAGAATTTCTTTAATTTTAATTAGAAGTAACTTAAGCTTGGTTGAAATCATAAATATAGAAAGGCAATATGATTGTATGTACATATTGACCCTGCATGACGGACCTCAAAGGACTGATGGGCGGGGACAAATTGAGTTCAATTGAATAAGATTTAAAAAATTTCGTCTCAAATACCATTCACCCAGATATGGTAAAACCAAAAACTGGAAGGGGATAAAGTTTACTCTAGTTTATATAAGAAAAGTGCATTTTAGCACACTTTAAAAAAAAAAAAAAAAAAAAACTTTGTTAAAATCCTTAAGACGGAACAGCAGTAAATATTATGGATTTGTGCATTATATGTGAACAATGTGGTTCAAAATACGAAATATACCATACTACAATCTGGTGAAAGATTGAAGCTTCAGATATTTATCGTTTCGTAGCAATTAGTCTTATTCTTTCTGTATTTTCCGTTTAAATATATTTTTGTTAATATTTTTAATCTTGTTTTATAGATTTCGAGTTAAAATAACAATGTTTTCACGTTTGTATTGTTGTTTTAGATTATAATCACATCGCAGTTAGAATATAGATATTTACAGTTATCTTTATGATCATAACTAACAAAAATATCGATATAATAAAGGCCCATGGAATTGATATGAAAAAAAAACCAACAACAAACAGTTCGATACGACTTTGGCAAAATATGAACCAAAGAAAGATTTACACGGTGACTCTTGAAAAAGCACAAGAATTAAGAGTCGACGACACCCGCCATGAAAACCTTGGTCAATCCAAGTAAGTAACGTCAACTTCTCAAATGAGAAAAAAGGATACAACAACGGAACCAACAGGCAAACTAACGAGCATCAAACACGTCCAGCATCATATCGCACAAAGCAACAGAATGTTTCTCAATGAGATCAATATGGCGACCGTAAAAATTCTCTATGATTTTTATCAACCTGCATCTATTAAAAACCCCGTGTAACGAGTTTGTCAGTCAGTTGACGACTTCTTGCACGGAAATCGTGATAATGGGAACAGGTCATGGAACATCGAATCAGCTGCTACATGTAAATGGCATAGGTAGGGGATATAGACCTCAGCAATCCGGTCATCGATGGTGAAATAATGGCATGCACTTTTTGTCAACATATCACAAGACGGAATTCTGACAGCCTCATCTCAAATCATTATAATTTATTGAAGTAAAAACAACTCATTCTTGCCATTTAAAATCTAACTTTCAATATGTTAAAAAAAGATAATGTATTAAATAATAGTTATATTTGCTGTTTTTTTGACCAATTTTTATGTTTTCACTTAAAAATCACCCATCTCATTCGTGAGACATACATTATTAATCCAGAAATCCAGAATTCCTTTAATTATTTGTAACGCGCTTCATCTCTCCAAACAAATAAACAATAAATGTATCCGAAAAATAGTTATATATCATTAATGCATTTCCAAACTCTGGGCATTGAATTAAACGTGAACACGGCCGTCCTGACTTCATCATGTCTCTCTTACAAGTTACAAATGGGTTCGTTGCTTGTGAACGGATATTTTTTTATGTCAGTTGAAAATAACGAAAATATATATATGTTGTTTGATGTGCACTTGTTAGATAGATTGTCTGGTGACAGTCCTTGTATCTAGTTCTAGACCTAAGACACTACTGTTCAGCGATTGGAAGGGATTTCGTTTGATTACTTGTAGATAATTCAGGCAAACCACCTTAAACTTGTCGGGTACAGCACTACCGGATGCAATAACAAAAACTGTTGTAATTAAGGAGTGTCACAGCAGACAGTAATGACGTAAATGTTTCAAACTAGCAGTTATGTGACAGAAACTGTTAAAGAAATTATCATTTTTGTTGTTTGTATAGGCCAGCTCGACGTCAGAAGTGCATTAAATATAGGAATATTTAATCAGGATTTTTGAAGAATGTGTTTTTAAATATCTGAATCAAGTATTTTCATCCAATAATCTTCTTATTCTAAAAATCATATCAATTTTTTAACAGCTGATTCATATGTGGATTAAAAGTAAATGCGAAGGCAGTGATAAAGATTCCCCAAGGTAAGTTATAGATAAAATCTCCGAAAGCTGACCACTCAGAAACGTTGTAACTAACAAATATTAAGACTTCTACACAATTTTGTGAATAATCTAATAAAGAAATACTCTTATATAAACCTTACAAAGAAATTTTCTCGAGGAGAACAACTTGAGACTCGTCTACACCTGTCATCAACAGCAATCGGTGGGTTTTAATCACAGTCGATACTGAACGTCAACCTTTGGGAAAACATCATTTATACCTTATAACTTACCGCCATAATTAAAACTCTTTCCGTTACACTATCTAGCACCTTAATAACTTACTGGTTAACTGAGCGAACGGTCCATCAGACCATGGTAGAGAACCTGATTGTCCTAAATAGTACATCAAATCTTCAGCCTCAACACAACACGCTAAATTACTATACCCAATCAATTCACATGTTGATAACCAGGTAGGTTCAGGGCATTGAACGTGTCATAATGTCCATCACTGACCGCATGTTGCTAATATACCCGGTTAATTGTACGTGTTATTGAATTGCAGGCCAGTGATAGCTTCCGTGGTTGTATGGTTAACGAGACTCACGACTTTCATTACGGACATGCGACGGTTAAATAGACAAACTTTTGATATTTGTTATGATATTGGAGTACCTGTTGCTGTGTGCTGATTATAGCCATTTAAGCTTTATCGCTTTTTATAACCACTAAAAGAAAGTAAATGTTTGTTTTCGCTCGCTGTAGCAAAAATCGAAAAATGGGGAGAACAAAAATAGTTCTAATCAGATATCATTACATGTACCAGCGTACGATTTGATATAAAGCATGGTAGTCTACAAAAGTCAGTCCAGCGGAAAAACAACTCCGTTTTGTTATCGTTTGGCTATAGTTTCTCCCACAAATGGTTGTTCGGACACCTGAGATTGAAAAATATTCAACCAAATCTTACTTTTGAAATCCTTAATAACTGCTTATTTTGAAGGTGTTCAATATGTAACATTGCAAAACCTGAATAAGTTCAATTGGAACACATTGCTGGGGTCGTCTGACATTGTAACACCGAACAAAAGGTTAAAACACAAAGAAAAATGATATACAAAAACTCATTTAAAATCTCAGTCATTTATGATTTAACCTTCTTTGCATGAACTGTTCATTTGGAGTACACTGTGTTTTGACTCGGTAATATAAATGACAACTAAAGTTGATCCTAAAGTGCTAATATTTTAAAAGATATAAACATCAAAATGTAAATTGACGACGAGCACATTAATCCTACAAAGTATCCCCTTTTTGAGTATATTATAAATGGTAATTTTGCAAATTAACCGATCTTGATCACCCGTCACATATCTATACAGAACTTTGTCAGTTGTTCATATTTCGCGCGCTCATCTCTACGAAACTTTTACCTGAGAGGATGTGACGTGTACGCATGCTTTTATGCATGACAGAGACAGCTACCGTGTCAACATTGCCATTGTTTGAACCATGATATAATATTCACCGTTCACGCAAACCACAGCTTGCGGTGAGTACCCAAAACCCATGAATTATGATTTTTATGTTTTATGCATTCTGTA